TGCCGCCAGGGTCAGATCTGACTCCTCATGCGAGGGTGCGGATTGCTCTCCCACCAGCTTCTCCAGTTCCGACAGGCAACGTGAGGCAGCAGGGATGTCGGTGCCCTGAGCAGCACAGTCCAGGTGGCCCAGGCCGTCTCATCTCTCTGCTCCACCTCTGTTACGCCCGGGCGGTGCTGAGGCACAGCGCGCCCACAGCTCCTGCTCCACAAGGAGCAGCTGCCCTCAGCAGCACAGCTGCAGGGATGCAGCCCAACCCAGCTCCGCCGCCCACAGCCACGCACCGCCTGCATATCCCACAGGGCATTTCCTCTGCAGCGTGCACAGCCCTTGTCGTCACGCCATACATTTTAGCCTGTCATCCTACCCCAGTGTCCCTGAAGATGAATGGACCTCTGCGCCCTCACGCTGGGAAGAGGGAGGGGGGGTGTTTGCTGGATTGTTTGCAGAGATAGCTTTGGCAGAGCCAGGTGCTCAGCTCTGCTGAGCATGCCAGGCCTGAGGCTTTACAAAGGACTGCGGTGCAGGCACAACCCGGCCTCTCTTCCCCTTGCGTGGTCCCTCAGCCAAGAGCTTTCTGCCATCTCCCACTACTCGTGCCCTGGATCCTGCAGACGGAGGCAGTGATGGAGGAGGGGACCCTGCTATCCAACACACATACCCAGCGCAACAACAGCTCCACGCTCCCTCGCAGCAGCCCAATTCAGCAGCCTGCCCTCTTGCCTGCTCCCCAAGTCCCACCCTCCTTCCTGCCCTCTCCCCACAGTGCCCCACACGCTAGCTCACACAGCTCACCTCCCAGAGCTCTGGCTCAAATACTCCCCAGTTCTGTTATGCTTGATTTTACCCAGAAAGGTAGAGGGCTGACTCCAGGTCTCTGCAACAGGAGATACTTGCAGCAGGTTTCAATGCTGATATCCGTGCAGGAAAGGTTAGGAAGGAGGGGGTGGGTTATCAGGGGAAGAAGAGGGGTCCCAATCCTAGGGAGCAGAGGGAGGAACTGAGAGTACTGTTCACTGTTCACGTATGAGCACGCACCTGGCTCTGAGGCTAAAGTCATGGCAAGAATGACAGATGCCCCTGCAGAACCAGAGGCACATGCTGGCCCTCAGTAGGAAAGCACTGTGGATTCATTCCTCTTCTCTCTTGTGTTCAGCAGAGAATCTCAACCCTTATCCAAGCTATAGTTCTGTACCCTTCTTTCTCCAGGCCTGGCTATTGTCCCCACCTGTGTGTGGAGCTGCCAGAACACTTACTCAGGGCCAGCAGGTACAAGAGCCTGGAATTTGCATCCAGGCTTTTCACTGAAATGAACTCACAAAGGCCCTCAGCTTTTTGCAGCCTGGCCTGAACTCAGGGGCCATTGCGAGGTGTCTCAAGACTCTTGCTGTAGAGCTGCCTTCTGTTTGAGGGTGGTACCACTCCTAAAATTCACCCTAAAAAAAAAAAAACAGAACTCCCCACACTGGTCAAACTTTCTGTTTACATCTCTTGCAGAGACTGCCAGGGTTCTGCCATCTCTTTGGAAGCCACAGATGCATCAGCTGGGAAGCCTATGACAAGTCAAGCTGTTCTCATTTTTAGCAGCTGCAAACAGATAAGGTAATCTTAAAAACAAGAGCCCTTTACCACAGCAGCAAACCTCACCTTGGATGAATCATGGCTAAGCAAGTAATATTTTCAACCACCTTTCCATGCCTAGCCTGCTTTTTCTTCTGTCAGCTGCTGCAGCACAAGCTGTTCTAGGCTTATGTTACAGCTCGAGAGACCCAGTGCCTCAGGTAGAAAATGTCTATTTAGAAGGAAAGATATATTCAGTATTTTTTGGAGTCCATGAATGGACATATTATGATCACCCCAACTGCAGTAGAGAAAAACAACCATGAAAATACTGCTGGTAAATGAAAAATAGAACAGCTGTCAATCAGCACCTGGAAAGAGTTTACAAAGCCAGACAGAGAATTATATACCACAGTAACAGGATTAAGGGGTAGATAAAAGATAGTCATAGCACCAAGAGAGTGAAAAAGGGAAATGACAGGTCACCTTTGCAGATGAAGAAGAAACATGTTACATCTGTCACTGAGGAGGCTGCAAGGGAGAGCTAGAAGGGACACAGCAGAGCTCAGATGCACGATTCCCAGAGGAGGAAGGAACAGATTCTGTCCAAACCTGAGACACGGCTTCAAAAAAGAACTTTTAAAAGAAAACCTGGCTTCTTGTGGCATATGAGTGTTTGGATTTAGACAGGGGCAGCTTAAGATAAAAGGTGAAGAGGTCTAGTCCAGTGGCCCAAATTTGAGAAGGGCTCAAACAAAGGACGGAGGAACAGCAAAATACACCTTGCATTAGGAGTGCCTGCCCTTTCCTTCCAGCTCCTAAAGGCATCGAGGAATGGAGAAAATCCAAGCTGGAGCTCTGAATTTCCACATCACCTAGGAGACAGCACTTGAGGCAGGAAATCCTCACAACAGCCCAGAAAAAAAAAG